TGCTGGTCACCAAGGACACAGCGCTCAGCACGCTAAGAGCTTTCTGCTGGCCACCAAGGACACAGGGCTGAGCATGCTAAAAGCTTTCTTGGCTTTCTCAGTTTCGCCAAAGTCTCTCCTGGATGCTGTCAGGGCAGGTCACCTCTCACCACGAGGCACGGCACACGAGACGAGACCGCAGTAAGTATCTGAGCCAAAAGACGGACGACCGGGTGCATGGAAGTGACTTGCTGTGCGGCGCTGCATGGAACCGCCTAGCTAGCAGTGGCAGTGCTGGCGTATGGAAGCGGCCGCACACTCACAAGTTCGATCTGAGGTTCGGTCGGTTCTTGGCCAAGCCACCACGACAAAAGTTGACACAACACGAGGTTGTGTGCTGGCCGTCCAATCGCCGCGCATGTGCACCTGGAAGTAACAGGTGGCCGGCTCGAATTATAAATGGTGAACTAGGATTTGTAACTGGTTTTGATCGGTCCAATAAAACAAGCGAGGCTGCGTCGGGCTTGTCAGACGGGCCATTCAAGCTCGGCGATCGCAGCGACATGGCGCCCATTCCTTCATATCGCCTCTAGAACCAGCAGCACCACCATGGCCACCGTCACGCAGCTCGCGGTCCTTCGCTACGAAGACACAATCGACGATGGCAGCAAGTTTACAGTACTACACCCCACCCCGGACGACAAGAGTGCCATAGCAAGAGTGTAGGTGTACATGACGTCCGTCGCGTCCAACGGCCGCGAATGGGTCGTCCCGCTTCGCTACAGCCGCTTCCACGAGTTTTTTGGCCAGGTACGCAACTCAGCAACTCCACAAGACGACGCCGTTTATTGTAGCTCGTCAAGACGGACCGGCACGCGGCGGCGCTCTCGTTTCCGCAAAAGGTGCTCTTCACACCGTCCAACGCCACGCGCATGCGCCAGCTCCACGACTTTATGCAGCAGCTCGCTGGCGCCCTGCCAACCCTCTCAGACGACGGGCTCCGACTCGTCCACGACCTGCTTGACGTCGACGCCAACACGATCGTCGAGCAGCCCTGCGAGCCAGAGCTGGAAGAAGACACCGTGGTGCCTGGGGAGCCCGACGTCGCGGCCCAAGGACCTTCGATCGACGTCGTTGTCGAGGTCGTCAAGCCGACGGCGGCCACGCCACTGAAGAAGAAGGCCAAGACGTGTGCAAAGGCCAAGGTCGAGTCGCCGCCCGCCGTCCGCGCGGTGGCACTCACGTACACGGTGATGCTGTCGCCGGTTATGATCCTCGTCACGGTCGTCCAGTCGCTCTTTTGGGTTGCATCGGCGCTGCTGCCTTCGCCCAAGGTCAAGGCCGCGGCGTAGCCCAGCCCAACGTCGTATTTATGCAGCGCGCCATTCCCTACCTTTACGGCGGACAGGCGCGGCCAACGGTAGCCGCGCGCCCTCTCGAAGCGTGGGATGAGGAGTAAGCCCCAAAATCAAAATCCACCATCTCACTCGGTCGATTCGTTCGGAGTTGCCGCCCGGTTCCGCGCAAGGCGATCCTCCTAATGTGGGTACTTGGGTGCGCGCGACGTCCGGTCCCTTGGCAGTAGCCCTCGGATCTCGCCGGCCAAGATGGCCGTCACTCGTGGAAGCCACGCGTCGCTGTACCGTACGTTGCAGCTTGCGCGCACAGTAGAAGCAAGTGCAGTCGGAGCGATATGCAGGCAACGTACCGTGTACATTACAGCCTGGGTAGCGTTACTACAGCGCGCATGGCCACCTCCTTGACGCCAGCAAACGCCATCAACACGAGCCACTTCTCGTCCAGGCAACCAGAAACGAGCTCGCACCAAGCTCGTCACGCTCGCTGCATCGAATGCGGCTGGAGGTAGCAATGCGGGCGCGACAAAATGCAGCCACCGCGGTGTGTCGTGTCGTAACCGGCTGGGCGCTGGCGCCAGAAAGCATCACGGTGTCGATCACCGCACAGCCTCCATACAAATGGCCAATGCGCTTGCGACATGCAGATTTGGATCCACGTGGTCGACTTGCAAATTAATAATATCACTGGTATTTTATTCTCCGACCAGATCGTTCCAACCGACCGGCTTTAAAATTGAATGAACATATCTTAATCATTGTAGGCAACATTGATTGTTGGAAAATAAATTTCATCGAAATTCGAGCTTTCCGCGCCCATGTGTGAGAAATCGCGGGCTTTTGGATGCGCTCAATTTCGATTTTAGCGCCTCGTACGCAAGCGGTACGGGCATCGAGCAGCGCACCAGCGGCTCATGCATGCGAATAGGTCGATTCAGCAAGAGCATGCAGTTCCAGGTCACCGGCTTCCGGGAAGCGCAAGAAAAGGGCTCCAAATTCATGGTACATGAAGCGTGCTGTGATCCTTGTCGCTCATGCTCGACTAGGTGTACACCACCCGTGTGCAGCACCCGTCGGGCGCCCACTGGACCGTGCCGATCCGCTATAGCCGCTACCACGAGTTCTACACGCAGGTACGAACCAGCTTCGATCCCGTCCAAGTCGATATTCATTGATATGCTTAGGTTTCCAAGTCGGACAAGGCGGTCGCGGGCCTTCCGTTCCCGCCCAAGTCGTTCTTTGCGCCGTCGAGCGACAAGCGCAAGTCGCAACTGGATGCGTTCATGACGCAGTTGGCGCCGTTGACGCTCTCCGAGAAGGGCGAGCAGCTCCTCGATGGTCTCCTCCACATCGCCAAGCACGTGACGGCCCACGAAGAAGAGGAAAAGAAGTCGGCGGTCGTGGCCAATCCCGAAGAAGAGGAAGAGGAGGAAGATGCGATCGATGAGGTCAGCAGCAACCAAGACACGCACGACGACGACGTGCCTGTCGACGCCAACAACAACAAGAACGACGAAGAAGACGCCGTTGACCCCGTCAAGGAAGATGATGCGACTGTGGACGGTGTCGCGGCCGTGCAGTCGGCGGAAGCGGCCGTCAACATGATCTCCAAGATCTGCCTCAACTTTGAAGCCAAGAAGGCCCAGAAAATCGAAGCGGAAGCCATCTCGACTGTCGTCACCGAGACGCCGGCAGCTGTCGAAGTCGCCGAGCCCGTAACGGCACCCGTTGTTCAAGAGCCGGTCCCCGTCACGGATGTTACCGCTACAGCCGAGGTTGTCGCGACGCCCATTGATGATACCCCCGTCGCAATTGAAGCCCCCGTCGTCACCGAAGCCCCCGTCGTCACCAAAGCCCCCGTCGTCACCGAAGCCCCCGTCGTCGTCACCGAAGCCCCCGTCGTCGTCACCGAAGCCCCCGTTGCTGTTGAAGCTCCTGCTGCCGTTGAGATCCCTGCCGTCGTTGAAGTGCCTGCCTCTGTTGAAACCGTTGTCCCTGCCCCCGAGGTGGCCGTTGCGCCTGTCCAGGTAGCCGTCGCGCCCATCCAGGTCGATGGCCAGAAGATTGCCCGTGTCGAGATTGTGACACCCGACCAAATTTTGTCCCCGGCTCTCGTGACCAAGGCACGACCGACCTTCCACAGTATTGACGTCAGCACGACCGACGACGACGAGACGTATGCGACCACGAAGGCGCTGAGCGAAGACCAGAAGAAGCGCCGGAACCGTCGCCGGGCGCAGAAGCGGAAGAAGGCCAAGAAGAGCGCGTCGGGCTCGTCGGGCTCGGACACGGCCCAGCCCGTGTCGCCGTAAACCCCTTCTCTGTGCTCTTACGACTATGAACCCCATTTGTACCACCACAACAAATACATAAATATTAATGCGTATACCTTGTCAATGGACGACGTTGTCGTGTCGTCGAGGCAGATGGAGGCTGGATCTTCCCGCGCAGCTTTAACGTCACATGCGGCACCCATGGTATGTTTAACCCATTTGACCCATCGTTTTTTTCAGTGTTTGTTTTAATTTATTTTAATTTAATGCAACGACACGAGCTTCAACTAGAGTGTTGGTCGTTTTTCGTTCAGGCGTGTTCGGCCCGGAGCGCAGCATGGCGGATCGACTGCACGGCTTCGACCAGCCCACGGTGTGGCACGAGTTCACGCCGCTTGCGCTGCAACATGGCTCTATCAACCTCGGCCAAGGTAGCTGCGGCCCCGAGCCATGCCACGAAGGATGATAATTAAGGTCGTCGTCGTAGGCTTTCCCGACTGGCCCATGGAGGCCATGTTCAAGGCCCACGCTCGCCATGCGATCGACATGGACTTTAACCAGTACGCGCGCCCGCAAGGCCACTTGCGTCTCGTCCGAGCTCTCGCTGCGAGGTACTCCAAGCAGCTGCACCGACCAATCGAGGCGACGACCGACATTGCGATCGGGGTCGGCGCCACCGAAGTCATGTACAGCGCCCTCATGGGCTTACTTTCGTCGCCAGACGACGAAGTGGTCGTGCTCGAGCCGGCCTTTGACATCTACGCGGCCCAAGTCCAAATGGCCGGCGGGCGCTGCAAGTTTGTGCCACTGCGCTGTGACGCGGCGCAGTTTTACCTGGACGGCGACGCAGTCGAGGCCGCATTCTCTGCCCATACACGGGTACATACTACTCATGCAACCGCGCACTCTTGACGCAGCCAACTGTGCCAGGTCTTGATCATCAACAGCCCACACAACCCGACGGGCAAGGTCTTTACCGAGGCCGAGCTTGCGCGCCTTGCGGTCATTGTTGCCCGGTACAGGCTCCATGTCATCCCTCGCTGCTCACAAAAAGTTTCAATTAGGTATCCCCGGGTCGTCGTGCTCTGCGACGACGTGTACGAGCACATGGCCTTTGTGCCCTACCCTCGGTTCGCCAACCTCCCGGGGATGTACGAGCGTTGCATCACCATCTCATCCGCGGGCAAAACCTTCTCCGTGACGGGCTGGAAAATTGGGTGGGCTGTCGGGCCCCCGGCGCTCGTCCAGCGCATCCATCTTGCCAACAACTGGATCCAATTCAGGTACTGTACGATCGCAATAGCTCTTGCATCTCAGAGTCGTATGACAGCGTTGCGACACCGCTTCAGGAGGCGGTGGCGGCCATGCTCGAGCAGGCCGACGAGCCATTTCAGTCGCACGACTCGTACTTTGTAAGCGTTGCTGCGCGCCACCAAGCGGGGCGGGACCTCCTCATCGCCGCCTTTCAAGCCCTCGGGCTCGACGTCGTTGTCGCTGACGGCGGCGCCTTCCTTCTCGTCAACATTGCCAACGTCGAGATTCCGGCGAAGTACCTGGAAAACGGGTCGCGCGACTATGCGTTTTGCCGGTACCTCACGATTGAGAAGCGCGTGACGGCGATTCCCGTCAGCGCCTTCTACTGCGAGAAGCACAAGGCGCTCGGACACAACTACGTGCGCTTCGCGTACTGCAAGGAGACGTCGACGCTTCAGAGTGCCATTCAGCGCCTCCAGTCGCTCGTCGTAACGTCGCCCGCCCACTAAGAGTCCTAGTAGACTACGAGCAATTCGACGAGCCAATCAGAACCTCGTAAGCGACAAAGTCATTCAGTAGATAAGTTGCTCGAGTGGCAGCTAATCGCATGTTATAATGACGCGGCCGATGTTTCCAATCGAGAACGCAGGGACCGACTAATAGTACCGCGTGAAAACTGACCAACGACTGACTAGCGACGGATTACCGACTGCCTCGCGACCTCCTCGCAATCGACTAACTACCACCTACCTACCGACTAGCGACTGCCTCGCAAACGTCGAGCGCTCGCGGCATCGCCCTTGAACTTGCCGTTCACCTGCATGCGTGCTGTGGTACTGCCACGTCACGGCCGCGGATCTTCCGGATACGTACTATCCGGATGTTTCCGTGGATCGCACTTTCCAACGTCGAAGAGGATGGGGACGATCCTCGGGAAGCAGCGCTACAACGAGGAGCCGGTCGAGCTCATGCGCGAGACCAAGTACTTCTCGCAGTGTACGCCCAGCGCCTCGACCCTCTTCATCATCTTGGCCGTAGGGACGCTCGCCGACGTCCGCGACCTCTACGCCCGCTTCCGCAAGACGTGGGGCTTTGCCATCACCGAGAGCCAACTCGAGTCGCTCATCTTGCTCAAGCAACCGGACGCGGTTTCGATCAAGGAGATCTTTGCCATCCTCGACGCGACGCGCGACGGCAAGCAAGACGGGCGCATCGACGGCCTCGAGTTCATCGGCGGCCTCACGGTCATCTGCCAAGACACGTTTGAGGAGAAGGCGCGGTGTACGTCCTATCTCTGTCTTGCGCAGCTTACTCATATCCCACTTACAGTTGCCTTTGAAGTCTTTGACTTCAACCTCAACGGATCGCTCTCGCCCATCGAGCTCGTGCGCCATCTCGACGCGAATGATGCGAAAGGTCATCATGGCCGTGTCTAGGCGCTTCTCATGCGGTCGTGCTACGGTGGGATCACGATCCTCACGGGCGGCTGCCTCGCGTCCGTACCGCCGATCCCCACGTTTGTCCAGGTCGCCCAACAAGCGTTTGGGCGGTTTGACCGGGTAGCGATCCATGTTGCGCGGGACGAGGCGGGCGAACAAAGCAGCGTAGGACCACAGCGATGCGCTCAACTACGAAGAGTTTATTGCGTGGGCGCGCAGCAACCGCGAGTTCATGCTCTACATGGACGCCTTCCGGCTCATTTCCGAGACGGCCAAGGAGCGCGTGCCCGAAGCCGAGTGGATTCAAGAGGTATTCTTGTATGGAATTTACACTCTCCGGATGCATTTTACACTGTCGGGACGTCTATGTAGGCCAGCGACGACGACTCGGACATTGAGGTCGAATGCTGCGCCCCGCCGCCGAGCCCGGCGCCGCCAACGAAACCCACTACGAGCGCCTCTCCGTTCCAGCTCGAGCCGTGGATGGTCGAGCCACTCAACCCAAAGCCCGCGCCGCGCCGTCTCCCGCCCGTCAACATCTCCCTCGAGTGGGTGTACGGCTACCGCGGGTACGACGCCCGCAACAACGTACGGTACACGTGCCACGGCGACATTGTCTACTCGGTCTCTCGCCATGCGATCGTGTACAACGCTGTCCGGCACGAGCAACGCTACTACGAGGTAATTGTGTACCTCCCGTCCCTTGTTTGGTCACCTTAACTAGGGGCACACGAATGCAATTCTGTCGCTCGCCGTGTGCGCCAACGGCGACAAGGTCGCGACCGGTGACGTCGGCCCCAACTGCGCGATCCACGTCTGGTCGCCGCTCTCGCTCGACTGCCTCTCGATCTTGTCACAGTTTCACGACGACGGCATTGCGCTCCTCGCGTTTGCACAGCGCTACGACACGCAGCTCGTCTCGGTGGGACTGGACCCGAACCACCGCATCGCCGTGTGGGACTGGCCGTCGAAGAGCGTCGTCGCGTCCGGCATTGGGTCGACGCGCAAAGCGCTCGCGGTCGCGATCCACGACAATGGCCAAGAAGTGGTACCGAATTTCGAATCGCGGATCTGGGATCATTGTGTGGTAGGTCGTGGCCGGCGACAAGTCGCTCGAGTTCTTCTCGGTCGACAACCGCATTTTGAAAAAGGAGCGCGCCGCGCTTAGTACCATGGGCATCTGGCAAGGGTTTCTCTCGGTGGTTTACTACCAGTCGTATGTGATTGTGGGGACAAGTCTCGGGCAGCTGTACCAGTTCCAGAACCGCCGGCTCGTCCGGACGACGCAAGCCCACCCGGTGGCTATACTCGGATACCCTACCCCTCACATGCATGGGCTCTTGTAGATCAAGGAGTCGGTCAACTGCCTGTACGTGGCGCGTGCGTCGCTCTTCTCGGGCGGGAAGGACGGGACGATCCACCAATGGGACTCGACGCTGCAGACGATTGGCCACCCGATGGATCTGAGTACATTACCGCTTGCGCTCTCGGACTTTCGCATCACAAGCCTCTGCTACAACTACAACGACGAGACGAACCAAGGAACGCTGCTGGTGGGTACCCGCTCGTGCAAGATTCTGCAAGTAAACGAGGTCTCGGGCGCAGTGACCCTCGTCACTGCGTTTCATCAGCACGAAGCTGTCTCGGGCCTCGCGACGACGCCCAAGCGCGCCGAGTTTGCGTCCTGCGGTCTGGACCGCGTCGTGCGACGTTGGAGTCTTCGGAAGCGCGAGCCGCTCACGAGCATGCCGTTGCTCATGTATGCACCCGGGCAGTGCCTTGCGTACGCCACGAGCGGCGACTGGCTGGCCATGGGCTGCTCGGATGGCACGGTATGTCATCCTGACACACCGCGTCATCCTGACATACTACACTATAGATTGTGCTCTTGGACCATAAGTGCACCAAGATGCTGTGCAACTTTCGACATGCGCGGGCCGCCATTGTCGCGATCCAGTGGGCCAACAATGACCAGCTACTCGCGGCGTCCGGCGCCAACGGTCTCATTTACGTCTACCGCGTCGAACCAACAACGGCGGCGACATTCCGCCTCTGCCAGCAGTGCCTCCTCAAGCCCCTCGCAAACGAAGCCGCGGTCCCCGGGACCTCGCTCGACTTTTCCGTCGACAATCGATACCTTCAGAGCCAGCACGGCAGTAGTCTCCGCTTCTGGGACCTCCTCTCGGCGACGCGCGTCTCGGTCGTTCAGCACGTGCGCGATACGCTCTGGAGTTCGTTTCGCAGTCGCATTGGCTACTCGGTGCAGATGCTGCATGCAAATCATGACGAGATTTCGGCGGCGTGCGTCAACCGCCACCAGACACTTCTTGCGGCCGTCACCCGCAACGGCAGCATCGCGCTTCGCGCCTATCCCGCGCTGGACAACCTCGCCAAAGGCGTCTTGGGCCACAGCCCGCACGACCTCGCGTTTCTCGGGTTTGCGCGCAACGACGGCCTCCTCGTGTCGGCCACGACTGCCGACCACTGCATTTGCCAGTGGAAGATCACAAAGGAGGCGGCCGACGAACAGCCGCGCCCCAAGCACGTCGTGTCGGCGGTACCAACTGTTTTATTATAGTATCGCCAACAATGGTATTTCAATGTAGGCTGAAGACCCGTGCGCAGACGCCCACCTCTTGCAGTGGACGCCGCCAAGCGAGCGCAGCCGACCCAACCCCGCCATGGCCACGCTCTTAACACCGTCGTACTATACACCGAATCCGCACCACAAGGCGTACGCAACACTGTGATTTCTAAGGAGGCATGCGAGCTGGCGTAGGGAAGCTCCGGACCTGGACCTCGAGCTCGCCTACGTGCACGGCATGAATTGGAGTAATGGCCGGGCCATGCTCGGGTGCACCGACACGGGTGCGATCGTCTACTCGGCGGCGACACTTGGCGTCGTGTTTGAGCCATCGACCCGCGTCCAGTCGCGCTACGTGTACCACAAGCAGCGCATCACGAGGTACCTTCATCACCGTCATCTCGGATGCAAGCACTCGAGTCGTTGACTAGTGTGGCTGTGCATCCGCTCGGCAAGGTCGTTGCGACCGGGTCGTTTTCCCAGCTCGTCATCTGGGACGCCTCGTCGATGGAGACGCTCGGCGTGCACGCCGTGAGTGCGCCCGTGCTCTTCTTAGCGTTCAATGGCGCTGACCTCCTTCTGGCTGTCATTGCCGACCGGTACCACTCGGTGGCGGCATTTCTCTGGAAAGAGATGCACCAGATTGACGTGGCCCAAAACACTCTTGAGCGAGTACACTTATTGTCTTGTCTTTCATCGACAAATGGAAAACATCGTTTTTGCCTAGGTGATGGACGGTGCGTTTACGCTCGACGGCGCGTCGTTCGTCACGTGTGGCGTCAACCACATTCGGTTTTGGACTGTCGAAAACCGATACCACTTGACGTCGCAGCAAGGCGTGTTTGGCCGCGTCGCATTGCGTCAGACGCTTCTCTGCGTCGCGACGGCCGGCGGCAACCTCACAGTCACGGGCTGCGAAGACGGGTCGCTGATTCTATGGGAGCACACGCACGCCGTCTGCGTCGTGCAAGCCCACTCGGCGCCGGTCAAGGTCGCCTTGTTCCACACCGCTCTCAAAACGCTCGTGACGGCCGCCTCGGACGGATCGCTCCTCGTGTGGCAAGTGCCATCGAAAGCGTCCGAGTCGCTTATCCAAGCGGCGCGTTGGTCAACGGCAGCGTCGGCGTCGATTGTCGGTGTCACCGCGCATGACGTCACGCTCGTCATTGTCACGGACGAGAGCCTCCTTATTGCGCTCTCTCCTTCGTGTCTCGAGTGGCTCATCACACCCATGATCGCGCTGCCGTCGGACGCGCGGCGCAGCGCTGAGCCGAATGTGCTCCTGGCGTGGCATGGCCTCGCGGTTGGAGCGATTCGGGGGCTCGTGTGCCATCCGACGCAAGCCATGATTGTGACGGCGGGTGACGACAAGACGCTGCGTCTCTGGGACCTCCACACGCACTTGCAGCTGCGCGCGATGGTGCTGGCCTCGGCACCGACGGCGTTGGCCTACTCCCCGATGCCCATGGCCGACGACAAGATCCATTTGGCGGTCGCCTTTGCGTCCGGTGCGCTGGCGGTGCTCGACGCGGCGACGCTGGTGTCGCTGACGACAGTGGCGCTAAGTCACCACGCGTGTCGCGACGTCGAGTACGCACCCTGCGCCTCTGTCTTGGCGGTCGCCTGCCACGACGCCAAGATCTACTTGGTCGCGATCAAGGACAAGTTGTCGTATACGCTCTCGAAAGTGTGCGAGTCGACGATGCCAGGCCGCAGCCCGATTGCGCACGTCGACTTCAACTTGGACTCTACGATTTTGCGTAGCAACACGCTGGACCTCGAGTGCGCGTTCTGGGACGTGGCCACCGGTGCGCTCCTCGAGCACTCGGTCGCGGCCCGTGAGACGCATTGGCACAGCTGCACGTGCCCTAGCAACTGGGCTCTCATCGGCGCGTCTCAGGTACGCCACTGCGTTTCGAACTGCCCACGTAGCTGACTAAGGGACGTAGGGGATTCCACTCTCGTGCTCGGACCGCGTCCAGTCGGAGAAGCCCGGCGGCGCGTTCTCGTCGCAGCTGCCGGTGGTGGCCGTCGGGGACATGCAAGGCCGCTTGCAGCTGCTGTGGTATCCGTGCGTCGAGCGCAGTGCAGCGAAGACGTACTATGGCCACGCCTCGCCACTGCACACGATTCGCTTCAGCGCAAGGAACGCGTTTCTCCTGAGCCTCGGCAGCTTTGATCGGACGCTCTTTGTGTGGCGCACCGACTTTGCCGACGAGATCAAGGAGCGCGCGTCGCTCACGGCGCCTGACGCGAGCGCCACGAAAGCGCACGCGGCGCTAGTCTCGGACGAGCGGCTCCTCAGCCACGCGTTTGACACCGCCAAGAAGGACGGCGGCGACGAGTTCCTCGCTGTCAAGCCCTGGCTGGGCGCGATCCGCGAGCCAAGTGGGTGGACGGTGAAACCAGGTACTTTGTACCGACGCCTTTGAAAGATGAAAAGTAGGGTGTAGATGACGGCGATGCACCCAGCGGCAACCTCGACTTGGTGTTTGTGCACGGGTACCGCGGCTTTGATACGCGCAACAACCTCCGCTTTGGCGCCGATAGCTCGAGCTGCATTTACCACACGGCGGCGCTCGGCGTTGTCTACAACAAGCAGACGCACCGGCAGATCTTTCACTACGGCCACACCAACGACATTCTCTGCCTCGCGGTGCACCCCGAGGGCCACTTGGTCGTGAGTGGCGAGGTCGGGAAGAGCCCCAAGTTGATCTTGTGGGATGCCAACAGCGGGTCGAGCCTCTGTACGATGGCGGGGTTTCACCGACGCGGCGTCGCGCTCGTCGCGTTCAACGCGACGGGCGACCTCATTGTGTCACATGGCATGGACGACGACCACAGCCTCGCTCTCTACTCGCTCCAGGGCAAGCTCGTCGCGTCCTGCTCGGCTTCGAAACAAAAAGTACGTTTTTGTGTTTTCCATGTATCAAGGTATCAAGCGCGAGTAGATTCTCTGCCTCGATGTGCTCGCCAGTGACGGAGTCAGCGTCGGCGAAAAGACTGTGCTCTTCTGGAGCTTGTCCCAGACTACGATTTCCCTCAAGAAAGGTAGCTTTGGCAAAGGCGACAGCCGCGGCACGGTGCTCGCTTGCATCTTTGTGCTCAACGACGCGGTGACGGGCCAAGCCGACGGATCGCTCTACCGCTGGAAAGGCCGGGGCGTCAGCACCGTCCTCGCCCACGCCCACGAGGTCGACCACTTGGACTGTATACCTTGTTCGACATGGATGCTTAGGGCGCGATCAACTGCCTCTTGCACGATGTCAAGGCCAAGAACGTCGTGTCTGGCGGCCGCGACGGGGTCGTGCGGCTCTGGAGCTACAGCCTCGAGCCGCTCCTCTCGTTTGATCTGCGCAAAGCGTCTTTGGCATCCTCGTCCATGAAGCCCCGGGAGAAGGATCGGTCCTGGACTCTCAACGGCAGCGTTCGTAGTCTCAGTGTGGCGGACGGGAAGCTGCTACTGGGCACGCAAGGCTGCGAGATCTGCGAAGTCGACTTGGCCGACATTCGGGCCAAGAAGGACGCGGTCGTGACCAAGTTTATCGAAGGCCACGCCGGCGGCGAACTCTGGGGCCTCGCACCGCACCCGGAGAAGCAGCAGTTTGTCACGGCGGGCGACGACGGCACGGTCCGGCTCTGGGACGGCCCCAACCGAACGCTCCTCGCCAAGCAGTCGATGCCCAAGAAATGGCGCGCGGTCGCCATGTCACCCGATGGCACCCACATTGCCGTCGGCGCCAACGACGGCTCGGTCTTTTATCCCGCTCCGTAACCTACGACTCATCGTCACGGTGCTAGGTGGTCGTGCTCAAGGAAGCTCTGGACGGCGACGTTGTCGCGGACCTGCGCGTGAGCCTCAAGGCCATCTCGGTACTGCGGTACGCGCCGGACGGCAAGACGCTCGCGGTCGGTAGCCACGACCAGCGCATCTACCTGTTCGCGGCGCCGGCGTACACCAAGCGTTGTGTGTGCAAAGGCCACAGCAGCTACATCACAGCACTCGACTTTTCGTCGGATGCCAACTACCTCCAGAGCAACTGCGGCGCATACGACCTCCTCTTTTGGCAAGCCGACAAGGGCAAGCAGGTCACGAGTGCAAATGCACTGCGCGACGTCAAGTGGGCCACGTGGACATGCACTTTGGGCTGGCCCGTGCAAGGTACGCGTACCATTGTCTCGTCGAGAGCAACGGACTCAACGGCGAGGGTGGTGCAGGTATTTGGCCCAAGGGCGCCGACGGCACCGACGTCAACGCCACGGCGCGCGCGTCATCGCAAAGAGACCTCCTCACGGTCGACGACAATGGCCACGTGAACTTGTTCCGGTACCCGTGCGTCGCGGCGCACGTACGTTGGCATAAACAGCGAAGATGATGGGATCACGGCGAATGTAGGCGACCGCCAAGACGTACCTCGGGCACTCGTCGCACGTGACCAACTGCGCGTTTACCAAGGGCGACATGTTTGCGATCTCGACGGGCGGCCTCGACAATGCCATTTTCCAGTTCAAATACGCCGACAAGTAAATGCAAAATACACACAGCTTTGGCTGACGCGAGGCCCGTTCGACGTCATCTTCAATGTGGCGAACCGCGCCGAAGTGGCACGACATATTTCATTGAGTGTGCACCGCTTGTCGCGCCAAGATTTGAACGCCTGTCTCGTGTCTCTGCACCATGGACGACGTCGCCGACAAAGGACGTTCTGCCGCCCACTCGCCTGTACGCCGTCGCTACCGCGTCACGACGACGTCCCATCCTCTTCCTACGTCGAATCGACACCGCTCGTACCAAGGTACGATGATGGCGGCGCCAAGGACTGCTGTCGTCGGCGGGGACAGTGAGAAGAAGACCGGATTGCGCAGACTTTTCTCATTGCTGATTGCATCATCATCTTATTGCGATCTTAGACATGTCGGTAGAGGTCCCTTTTTATGGCCTTCGCTACTGGCCGCCACGCTCTACGAATGGACCAATCCGCGCACACCTCCTCTCGTCTGATTGGCCAATTTCCGCATTAGAGGCCGTGCATCCGGATATGCGACGCACGTATCCGGTGGCGGCTTCCGCGGAGGTGCAGCATTTTCGGATTTCGCAGATCTTGGACGATGGCCAAGGAGACGACGACGAAGCCCAAGGCGGAGGACCCGGAGCACGTTCCGCTGGTCGCGGCCTTTCTGTGCTACTTCAACTTTGCGATCCTCATCACCTTTGGCCGGCTGCGCGACTTTGTCGGCTCGTGGATCGGCTACTCGCGCTACCAGTCGGCCGAGGACCGCCGGGCGGGCGTCGCCGACATGTTTATCGCATGGGAGAACTTTTACACGAACCGCATCTACCACCGCGTCCAAGACGTCTTCAACCGACCCGTGTCGTCGGCGCCGGGCGCGCGCATCGACGTCGTCAAGCGCGTCTCGCACGACGGCAACAAGTCGATGACGTGGACAAACGAGACGCAAAACTGCCTTAACCTCGGCTCGTACAACTATCTCGGGTTTGCCGACGACTGGATGGGCACGTGCGCGCGCATGGTGCTGCCCGTCGTCGACGCGCGCAACGTGTGCAGCAACGCGCCGTCGGGCGAGTATGGCACGACGCCCGAGCACGAAGAGCTGGAAGCGCTCGTGGCCGAGTTTATCGGCAAGCCTGCGGCCATTGTCTACAACATGGGCTACGGCACGAACGCAGCCTCGATTCCCGCGCTCATGGGCCCTGGCACGCTCATCATCTCGGACGCGCTCAACCACACGTCGATTGTGAACGGCGCGCGCGCCTCTGGTGCGACCGTCGCCGTCTTCAAGCATAACAACGCATCCCATCTCGAGGTCATGCTGCGCACCAAGATCGCCGAGGGCCAGCCGCGCACGCACCGCCCGTGGAAGAAGATCTTTGTGATTGTCGAGGGTATCTACTCGATGGAAGGCGAAATCTGCAACCTCCGGTCGATCGTCGACGTGGCCAAGAAGTACCGCGCCTACATGTACGTCGACGAAGCTCACTCGATTGGCGCTCTCGGCGCGACCGGCCGCGGTGTCTGCGAGTACACGGGCGTGGACCCGAGCGAGATCGACATCCTCATGGGCACGTTCACCAAGTCGTTTGGCGGGATGGGCGGGTACATTGCGGCCTCCAAGGACATCATTCATGTGCTCAAGACGGCGAGCGCCGGCCACACGCTCGGCACGAGCCTCTCGCCGGTCATCACGGCACAAGTGCTTGCGGCGTTCAAGGTCATCATGGGCCGCGATGGCACGACCATTGGCGCGACCAAGCTCCAGGCGCTCCGCGACAACAGCAACTATTTGCGGCAGGGCCTCAAGGACATGGGCGTCGTGACGCTCGGTCAGTTCGACTCGCCCGTGATCCCTGTCATGCTCTACTCGATCTCCAAGATCGCCGAGTTTTCCCGCCAGTGCCTCAAGCGGGACATGGCGGTCGTCACGGTCGGCTTTCCCGCGACGCCGCTGCTTCTCGGCCGCGTCCGCTTCTGCGTCTCGGCCGCGCACACCAAGTCGGATCTCGAACTCGCGCTCAAGAACCTCGAGGCGGTCTCGTCGACGGTCCACATTCGCTTTGAGAAGCATCTCTTTGGCTAACTTAATAAAGGAATCTCCAAATGCTCTATTTCACATTCCTCAACCAAGCTACAACTATGAAAGACGTGAGAACGATTAGGGGACTAGTCTACTTGTATCTCGTTAATAGCACAACTATATACTATAACACTTAGTCGTCCAAGTCCGACTCGGCGTCACCGTAGTGCCAGAGGCAGAGACGGCGGCGCTTGGCGTGGTCAAGGGCCGCCAGCAGCTTGTCGACAATGGCCTTTTGGTACGGCTCGGCGCGCTTGATGGCAGCGCGGTCGACCTTGGCAATGCCTTGCTCCAGAAGGATCTCGGCCACGCTCTTGTCCTGGAGCTGGAGCGTCACCATCTGCCGGCCGTTGCCGTCATAGCCGTGCAGAATCGCCGTCAGCGTCTTGCCCCACGCCGTGTCGTTAAACACATGGGCCGCGTCCTCGGCGTACTCGGCGCCATCGCCAAACGGCTTGAGAAAGCCGAGCACGCACTCCTTGGCCTGCGGCGGGTACTGCGAGAGCGCTGGGTCGAGCGGGCGAAGGCGCGTCGTCGGCACAAACTCCGTGTTGCCGTGGTCGACAAAGCGGACCTGGACGCCGCGCACCGTGAGCGCCTCGATGCGCGCGCGGTTCCACATGGGGCCGTTGCCGTCGTCAAAGAGGGCGGCGCAGAGCACGCCCTTCTTCATCTCAAACGTCTTGCCGTCGAGGCCGACCGCGTCCGTAAACATCTTCATCTTTTGCTCGAGCGTCGCGAGCGTCCGGTCGCCAATGTTTTGGAGAAAGAACGTCGTCGCGTTCGTAATCTCCGAGAGCCGCACGACCGGGAGGACCTCGTCGGCCGTCCGGCGCACCGCTGTCTTGGCCACCGCCTCTTCTTGCTCGATAAAGTTCTTCCAGAGATGCAAGCGCGCGGCCTTGGCCGTCTCTTGGGCCTTCTGGAGGTCGGCGCTCGACGCGGTCCGGTCAATCGAAAAGTCGTCAATGCGCGCATAGCCGCTCGAGAGCAGCGCGACGCCAAAGTCGTTCTTCGTGTCCTTCGTGCCGACAAACATCGGGCCAAACGCGTTGCCCATGCGGTCCATGTCCTCGACTTCGATGAGCACGTTGCGCTGCATGACGCTCCGGCGCGCGAGGCGGCGCGCGTCCTCGCCGTACGGCTCGGCGTCCTTGGTCGGCTTGGCCGGCTGCGGGCACTTGATGCCGGCGACGATAAAGTTGACGGTGCAGTTCTCCTTGGGGACGTAGACCTTGAAGCGGTTGCCAGCGTAAACAGCTTCGACGACCGCACGCATTGTCTTTTCGCGCTGGAGGAACGGGAGGTACTGCTTGGCCTTGTGCGCGTCAAAGCAGAGGTCCGTGATGCGCGCTTCGGGCGACGGCTTGCCCGAGTGGAGGCCGCGTTTCGCAGCCTTGGCCGTCGCCTCGGCCGCGACAAGAAGGTCGTAGTGGGCCGACTTTTCCTCGCCTTGGCGGTGACGCACGGCTTCGGCGAGGCCGTCGAAAATGAGCGACTCGCCGAGGTTCGTGCGGGGCTTGGGCTCGGCCCCCTTCTTCTTGGCGGGCGTCGCTTCGAGGAAGACGCTGGCGAACGTCATGACGTTGTTGTCGGCCAAGTTCGGGTTGTTGCGCTCGTACTCGATCTCAATCGAGACGGATTTGCCAATGCACTTGGCGCGAAGGCCTTCCTTCGAGTCGACCGCGTACGGCGCGTTCGGTTCGTTGCGGCGCGCGTTGCCCATGCGGGGGGCACGCAGCGACGAGAGGTAGATGCGCTGCTCCTCAAAGTTCTTGTTCTTGTGCGCGACGACGATGCAGTCGCCGCTCACGACCTCGACGACGATCGCCGTCAGCGACGTGTCGGTCGCCGTGAGCACCGGCGGGACGTAGTCGACCCACACGCGCAGCTTGAGAAGCTTGGCCGTCTTCTCGGCGTTGCGCATCTCGGTACGCGTCGCGACGCTGAGAAACTCGGAGCTCCAGTCGCTCATCTTGCCGAGACCGTTCTTGAGGAGCTCGACGCTAATGTTGTGGCCCGACGGGTGCACGACGCTGCCAAAGCAGTTCTAGTACCGCATGAGACATCGACGTGAGAAGGGAGAGTGGACGTACACCAAACTTGTCGACGCCCTCGAGCTTGACGTTGACCTTGCGGTGCAGCAAGCGCATCTCGGTAAAGAGCTTGGCTTCGCGCGCAAACGGCGCGGGGCCCGTGGCTTCGGCGCCAACCGGCGGGTTGATGCGCGGGCACTGGACGCCCGAGAGCGCAAAGTTGATGATCTGCATCGTCGACAAGAGAATGACACGCATGGCCGCACCGTCGCGGACCATTTCGACGATCGCGGGGATCTGCTGGCCCTTGAAGCGACCCAAGAGTTCTTCGCCGGTCGCGCCGCCCCACGTCACGTGGCGCGTCGCATTGTTGTCTTCGGCGTACATGCCCTTCTTCTCCGTCATCGCGAGCTGTTCAACGCGCAGCATCTCTTCCAAGTCGGGCGAGCACCCATCGCGGCTTTGCTCGAGCGTCTTGACCTTGGCAAAGCCAGCCTTGGCAACGAGGACGCACACGTTTTCGCCGTCGAGGTAGATCGAGCCAAAGTCGCGGTTAATGACCGAGACCTTGTACTCGACCTTGAAGCGCACGACCTTGCCAATGAGGAGGTTGCGCAGGTACTCACGCGAGGCGAACGCGTACGGCTAACGTCCATAGCATGATGAGTCATGCACCAAAGATCAATATGCAGCATCTACCTCGTCGTGCTGCTCGGCCGTGCGGGCGAGCTTGGGCGCCTGGAGCGAGGCCAGCGTGAGCATGAGCTCCGGCGGAGGGCCGTTGGTGGCGTTGCCCATGAGGACGACGGTGTCGCCGCTAAGGACGGCCTTCACGGTAGCATTGCCCGACGCCATCTTGTACCTTGACTGCAAATTCGGAAATGAGGGCAACCGCAGACAGGATCCGCCCCGCAATACAAACTTCAAGTCGGCCAATAGACGCGATGGCGTCCGCAAATCACCACGCGTGTCCGGATACCGTGGATTCCGAAAGGTTTTCTCAATTGCAATCGGTTTGAGAAACAGAAGTGCTTGAAGCTAATCCCACGCCCCTTTAGCATCCAAACCTGTTTCTGGAAGGGTTGGAGAAACGAATAAAATAGTGTGCATTTAGACACGACGCGTCTGTGCCACTCAAACTCAAAATACAAGTGACTGCTTGTTACACCGTATGCAAGACTTCAACCTGCGGCCAAAGATGCGCCACACGTGTGGCCGGTCCACGTGTCACGCCGACGGGCCGACACTGCGCTGCGCGCGGTGCAAGGTCCAGCACTACTGCTCCCGCACCTGCCAAGCAGAGGCCTGGCCTGCCCACCGGACTGCCTGCGGCCATATGGTCGTCGCGTCTGCCTGGCAGGCCCTCGAGGCCGCGTGGTGGACCCAGCTCCCCGTATCTGTGCGCCAAGCGCTCGAAGCCGACGGACATACGATCGCCTCCATGGTACGACCATACGCTCTCCGCCACTTTGCTCATGTGTGCTGTAGGCATTCTTTGGCGAAGTCTACTTTGTCTTGGCCGGCCTCAAGCCCTGCGTCGTGCTCACGGGCGTGCCCACGCCTTGGAAAGACCACTTCCTCGAGCACGTAGTACGCCCCAGCGGCGTCCTCGACGTGCCCAACGTGCAACTCGCGTCGTCCGGCAGCGTCTACACGCACGCGTTCGACTTGTCGAACCACCTCGTGCTGCTCCACACGATACATCCGCTGTACGCCGAGGCCAGCGCGCTCCTCTGCGTCGGGACACCACTCACCGCACCGACCTTGGTCACCGAGTCGCAGGTTGCTCGTATCCTCGACTACCCCGTCGGCCTCGACGAGTGCGCGGTCGGCACGATGATTGAAGTCGCGTATTTTAGCCACGATACGCTTCTAACGACGTTCTGCGCGCTCGACACGCCAGCACACCGACGCCTCATCAACGCCCACTTCCAGCGCTACCAAGCAGCCCTCGGGACGATGCTACCGCTGCGCATCGAGGCCGTCGTCGTGTCGTCGTGAGCCGTACTGCACCTGGATGCGGGCGGCCCACGCCGTCTGCTGGGCCACATCGTCGGGTGTTGCCGGCGTCTCGGTGCGCGGCGGTGGCGCCATACGCTTGGTTGGCGTTTTCTTGGGCGACACCACGTGCGTCTTGTACTTTGGCGAGGGCAACTCGGCCACCTTTATAACACTTGAATCGGATGAAGCCGTGGCAAGCACTGTCGTGTCGGCGTCCGTTGGCGGCTGCTTCTGGCGCAGCGTCTGCCAGCGCGATACCTTTGGCGCCTCGGGCTGTAGAAAGGACGTGTCAAATAGGGCTTTGGAAGCGTTTCCGGAAACGCCTTGGGTTTCGGACGCTACGAACGCAGACAAGTCGTCGTCGTCGTCGGCCTCGTCGATGGGCACGCGCGTCGGAGACCGCTTGGTGCGTCGCGGATGGCTTTTCGGCTTGGCCGTCGGGTGGTAGTCGCCAGGCCCTACGCGCCGTTCAGTATCGTGTCACAAGTCGAGAGCAAACGCTCGACCTGGCGTCACGCCGGTGAGGGTCTTGGCCGTCGGCGCCGGCATTTCGTAGGTCCAGAGCGTCATAGTCAGCGGCGCCTTCGTGCGCGGCGGGCTCGCAGCGACGCGGGCACGCGAGAGACCCACTTCGATGTCGCTCAAGAGTCGTCGGATCCCATCCAACGACAGGACGTTGGAGCATAGATCACTCGGCGTCTACCGCTGCCATAAGCACTGCTTGAGATCCAAGGGCGTACCATGCTCAAAAGGCCTTGGAGCCGATTGTCTGCTTCCACCATGTGCGATTCGAGCTCTAGTGGTGTATATGAGCCAACGGTGTATGGTTCCGCTGTACCTGGTGGCATCTCGAGCGTCTGGAGGGCTTCGAAGCGCTGCAGTAGCTGCGCCACCTCGGCTTGGAGCTGTGTTATCGACGGCAGCGGCACCGATGTACACGTCGGCGCCGATACAACAGGTGTCGTGGTCGTGGGTTCGAACCCGGCAGTCAAGAGGTCCTGAACACCGTCATGGATGCTGGCAACGAACGCTGCGTCGTCGTCGGGGTCGACCGCCTTGCTCTTCGGTGGAATTTTCCTCGGGGCTGTCTTGGTCGTCGGTGCCGGTGCTTTCTGGACGGCTGTCGTGACTGCAGCTTTTGGAGCATGCGTGGGCTTGGTCGCTGCCACGACGGGCGCGGGCGCCGGAACGAACCTGGGTCCCGACGCCTTCTTCGCTTGTTTCTTTTTGATCGGCGCTTTTGCGGACGCGGGTAGACGCGTGAGGTTGGACGGGAGTCCGTATTTGTCTCGGTAGCACTCCATTTCCACCAATAAGGCGCGGTAGAAGAGACACCGCTGCAAGGGAAAGCTGCCCCGTAGCCCAAATGTGTCATGCAGTGCAGCCTACGTGCAAGCACTCGTACATTAAGATGGGTTCAAGCACAAGGCCTACCGGCGTGAGCTTGAGGAAGGCCGGACCGTCGACTTTGAGTTTGTGCAAACCCGAAGACGGAACGTGCACGACGTCCAAGAAACAGCGCAGCTCGTCACAGCTCCACGAGCTCACTCGGGACCGATCTACATTGTGTAGGTGCGTCACCGCTTCAAGTGCCAAGCACTCGCGTTACCAAGGAAGGCAGCAACCGTTTTGGAGGTCGGCGACAGCTCGAGTTGCTACGTAGCATGCAGCTGTATAGAGAACGCCGTGTGCGTCGCTCTACCTTGCGCAGGACGAGGCAGAATTGTTTCAGGCTCTTGGGCGGCTCGTGCTGCAGTTTGGTCGTGGCGACGACAGCAGAGAGCTCGGGCGTAAGCTGCAGCGGAACACAGAGGAATGCTTTCTACAAGGAAGTGCATGAGACATCAGACAACTTGTCCATTTTCAAAAACCTCGTGCAGACGAAGCTCGGCGGGTTTGGTCACGGGAAGCGATGCGGGTAATGCTGGCGTTGATATAGATCCGAGAACGATCGCCGACTGCTGGTCGACAACGAAGCGCTCGACTTGATGCCGTTCGGCTTGACACCCAACATCACTCAGGCACGTCGAGCAGAGGGCCGTCGTGCAGTCACAGCACCAGTGCGCAGCCACCTCGGTGACGCACAAGTGGCAGTGATGGGCTTTCGTCGCCAGCAGCTCTTCCGGCGACTCAAGCACCGGCGGCAATTCGGGGAGCGACGTCTCTGGCCGCGACGACGACCCGAGGAACGCATGCACAACGCTTTGGAGCTCCGTCTCACGAAGCCACATGCTAGTCCGCCGCGGTAGCGGCTCCGTCTCCTGCTGCGTACCACCGTGTAGCGCCCCGTACATGCTGTCAGTCATGTTTTGAAGTGCCACGATAAGAGCGGAGCGGAGCAGCTCCTTCTTTGGCGGCGGGCGGGGCAACACGGGTGGCGCCATGGCTTTCGCCAAGCGCGATGACGTGGCCGACGTCGGACGCTTGGTTGCGATAAGCGGCCTTACACTCGCCTTTGTGCTTGGTGGCTTCGTGCGCGCAGGTGCGGATTGCTGGCGGTTGGTTTTTGCAGGTGCTGGCTTGGCAGGCAATTCAGCACTGGTCGTCGTCGGCGCCGATGTGGCGGGGGGTACCGTTGCCGGCTCTGGTGCGCAGCGCGCTCGCTCGACCTCGGCAATCTCATGGTTCTTGCGCATGCGTCCGACGTGGCCTTCTGTGTGCTTCTTCTGGACGCGTATACGTGGCGGCTTGGGCTGCGGCGGCGCCTGAGGTGATCTAAAAATAGAATGATGGCGTGCGATTAGATTGAGGTGGGTGTACATTATGGGCGGCGGGTCGTCGCAACGCAACTCGAACATGTTCTTCCACTCCGAGTGCACAGTGGGCAAGGGGGCGACCGCGAGCCCTCCGAGCATCGCGGGCCTTGGCGCTACTTTCGCTGTCGTCGCTAGCGCGGCCTTGGGCGGCGACGAGACGAGCGAGTGGCGAAACGACGGCAACGGCTCCGCGTCAACCTCGTCCGCCGCCTCCGGATCATCGCCAGCGCTGGTAGCAGACGTTGCTGGCTTGTGCTCGGCAGTATTTCCGAGAGGGATGGCTGGAGGGCGTGTTGTTGGTGCTCTGGCGTTCCGAATAAGCGCGCTTGTCATGGCTGGTGACTCGGACGCGGTGAAACTCAGAGACGGTTGTGGCGTAGCGCTCTCGGAGTGCAGCGAGGACACCGTGGCAGCCACCTGCGTTGATGGCGTTGGTGGCGGAGGGGCTGCTTCAGTGGCTGCCACAGTCGTTGGTGTCGCCAGCCTGGGCTCCGATACTGGTCGCACCAAGGAATGCGTGGGCTCTGGGGTCGGTGTTGGTGAGTGGTCGGCAGGAGCGGGGTCGGGTGCTTGCTGTCCTTGCAGCTCAGACGAGACTGATGTACTTTTGTCGATTTGCTGTGGGCCAGTAGCAGACGCTTTGGATGGTGTTGATGCGACTTCCGTCGGCTGCGAGACTTCCGTCGTTTTCTCCTCGGGTTGATGTGCGGGACCAGGATTGATCATTTGTGATGATGGTCGCGAAGCCAACTCGGCGGCCAAAGCGGTAGACGGGCGTGCTATAGAACCAAGGTCATTGGAAGGGACCGCGGTCGCAGGAGCACAATCGACGAGCAGGGGGACAAGCTCCTGTGGCGCAGTTTCTACGACTGGCAGCTGTGCGTGCGTTGGCTTCTTCTGGAGATCCTCCTGGGGTATATTTGATGCGACGGCTGGAACTTCGAGCAGGGTCCTTTGTGCGTCTGGCATCTGTGGCGTGCTGGGTTTTGGCTGCAGTATCGATGCGCTGGGCGACGATGCAACCATCGGCGCGACCATCAGCGCCGCAGTGGTATTTGGACAATTGGCTTCGCGTCCCCCCACATCTGTAGCGTCCGTACGCACTGGTGCGGAGGCGACCTTGCATTCTGGTTCGGGGTCCTTACTTTTTAGATTGGGGTCTGGAGGGGCCTTCGCGATCTCTGCCACGTAAGTTGCGAGCGACAGAGGTGGGACCGTGTCCTTAGTGGACTCTGGTTGCTTTGAGCCTTCTTTGCAATCCGCGGGCTCATAGGTGGGCGGTGCAGGTTTTGACGCAGCTTCAAGGTCGCGTGCTGGGTTGACAGCCTTGCCGAGCTCGACCACTGGCACGATCATGCTTGCTTCGGGTAGCGGCGGTTGGGGTGGAGCCTTGATGTCGACTCGAGCAGGGTCCGTGCCCGGTGAGGCGGCTGGTATGGAGCTAGTTGTCGCGAGCTCAATACGTGTTTGGCTGGCAGATGACGTCGTACTGCTCGCAATCTCGGACTTGAGCTCTGGAACACTTGCTTCCGAGGGCATTGTCAGCGCTGCTTCCAACGGTGCAGCAAGCGCACCTTCGGTTGAAGGACCCTTTTGAACAGAATGTACGCTTGTCGTCGTGTCTTCTTCCCCCGAGTGCTCTGGCGGCGCGATATCCGGGTTCTCTGACGCTGCATGAGCAGTTGGCACGGAAGACGTTGCCGGCGCGGGCTCGATGGGTGCAGCCGCAGGCATGGGCTCTCTTGATGCAATGACAGGCTCCACAGGTGGTGGCTCCGTGCCACTTGCCGACGCTGCAAGCACAGGCTCCTCTACAGCCTCTGATGGCGCCTCAGCAGCCACTGACGGAGCCTCAGCAACCACAGAGGGCGATTCCACCACCGGGGGTGCCACGGCGTTCGGGACCTCGACAACCGCAGACGACGCCTCGACAGCCGGGACGTCGGCAGCAGCAGGTAGTACGACTTCTTTAATTCCCGCTGCTGCATCGAGTAGAACGTCGACAGGAGCTGGCGAGGTGTCTGTGACAGCCGGTACTTTGGCTGCTAGCGGCTCGTCATTCTCGACCACAGGCGTCTCGACAACCTGGGGCGGCAGCACTTCCACCGAGAGAAAGAGCTCGCCCCGGCGCTTGGCTCCGTAATTGAGCGGGTACGCCTTCTCGATCGGGTTCTTGCCTGTGGCCGCGTCCGCGCGCCACTCGGCGACGCTGAGCGTGCAGCTGCCCAGCAGATCGTTCTTGGGCGCTTTTGGGCGTTCGACGAGAACACTCAGCTCGTCCGCGACATCGTCCAGCTCGAGCACCTCGTCCCACGTCGGGTTGGTGCCACCGGCCACGTGCACCTGCGTCATTAGCGTCGTAGGCCCTAGCGTCAGCGCGACGCGCGCGTCCTGCTTGCCAAAGATTTGCGCATCGTACAAGTTCCTCGCCCGCTGGACGCGGATACGGACCCGGCCCGCCATACTCGGCGATGAAACCGCCGATTTCTACCATAGTCCTCCATCTTGGCCCACCACCACGCGACGTGTCATCTCGAGATCCTTCCAAGCTGGGAGCTCTCTAGCGTACATGACTCGATCGACGTGGCGGGTGCTGTCGGTTGTCCCCAGGCACGGGCTCCGACGCGCGGCGCCGCGCTGGCCACAACGCACACGCTTCTATGCAGCGCGGTATCCTTGCCGCCGACTTGGGTGAATTCGACGTCGTTCGCAAGGAGACCGCGTACGAAGCGCCTGATGCCTTGCGCCTAGCGTCCTCGCTCCTCGGTTGTTCCTGGCTCGGGCCCAGCACAAAGGCTGTTCCGGCGGTGGAAGGCCATGCGACCGTACGAGGCGTGCCATGCCCATGACGGAGCGCATGCTGCATCCGCCTCGCTCCACAGGCTTGTAGCAATCATCGCCTAGATACATTGCATGTCGCCTTCGTTGTGGTTACAATTGGCCGAGGCCATCTCGGGTGCATCATCAATGATGCGCCACATGTCGCCTGCCATCTCGACACCACGGCTTGAACTTGCCTTCAAGGGCGCGGGCATGCACTGCAAGCTCCTCCCGCCCACCTTGCAGTGCCTAGGCGCCACTCGACTCGCTCCATCTCGCATGGCATGGCAGCGCGCATGGGCGAAGGTCGTCGAAGACCGGCCGGTGGGATGATGTCGCAGGGCCGGGCCCGCGGCCGTGGCCCATCCTTCCCCCGATGAATGCTAACGAAGTTATCGTCAACGGAACTGCAAGCGCGGTAAAGTTCGAATTCGCACGTAATCGGACAAAATCGAACTTTACTGGGTGTTTCCCGCACCTAAACGGGACTTTCGACGCCTTTTGACGGTCGGCCCCCACCACGAACGCTCGGATGTGGGGTCAGTCTTCCAATAGTCCAGCACCATGATGCAAACTCGTCTCCTGGCCCGCTCGTCCGCCATCGGCGCGCGCTCCTTCGCGGCCGCGGCTGCTGACCTCAAGCTCCAGGCGCCGGCGACCAAGGTAGACATCGTAGATGCATGGGCGGTTGCATGACGAGGCCATGGACATGTAGAACGTCAAGTACTTCAAGATCTACCGCTGGGACCCCGAGACCAAGGAGAAGCCGTACTTGTGCACGTACCCGGTCGACCTCAACGACTGTGGCCCCATGGTGTTGGACGCGCTCATCAAGATCAAGAACGAGCAGGACCCGACCTTGACCTTCCGCCGGTAGCCGCCATGATGATGCGGAGGATGGCGAGGCTCATGCACCTGCTGCCTCTAGCTCGTGCCGTGAAGGTATCTGCGGCTCGTGCGCCATGAACATTGATGGTGGCAACACGCTCGCCTGCTTGTCGCCCATCGACAAGAAGACGGACACGACCAAGATTTACCCGCTCCCGCATATGTATGTCATCCGCGACTTGGTGCCCGACATGAACAACTTCTACGAACAATACAAATCGATCAAGCCGTGGCTGCAGTCGGACATCGTCAAGGACGACAACACGGAGTACTTGCAATCCAAGGAAGACCGCAAGAAGCTCGATGGCATGTACGAGTGCATTCTCTGCGCGTGCTGCAGCACGTCGTGCCCGAGCTACTGGTGGAACCCCGACAAGTACCTCGGCCCTGCCGGTACGATTACCGTCGCTTGTGGACGTGTGCTCATCTCTCGGTTTTTCGTAGTCCTCATGCAAGCGTTCCGCTGGATTGAAGACTCGCGCGACACCAAGACGCAGGAGCGTCTCGCCGCGTTGGACGATACGTACAAGCTGTACCGTTGCCACACGATCATGAACTGCACCAAGACGTGCCCCAAGCACCTGAACCCGGCCAAGGCCATTGGTAAGATCAAGAAGATGCTCTCGCCTTTGTAAGCGACAGAGCATGCGGCGGTCGAGGACCATCGTGCTGAACCCGAATAAAAAAGTGAGTCTTTGCATTGGAACCCACCTTGTCTCTGTCTGCGCCCGAGCGTTTGGATGGCGCGCTCGCCGTCACGCGTCGTTGCGTGCCCTTCACCCGCGCCAGCCTCTGCACGAGCTTCAACATGTGACCCAAGCCATCCACGGCTCCGGGCCAAGATGGACGTTGCCGTCAACCACCACGATCCACCGAGTCGTCTCGCGCACCCACCGCCATTGCACAGGGCGGTGTGAACCAAGGGTTTGAGCCTCCTGCCCGCCTGCCCACGCGCCTCTCTGCAAGCCGACGTTCCTTCGTTGCATGTTGGTAGAAACGCTGCATGGACCAGCTCGTGTGCTCTACTAGTAGTACATTACATGACGAAGACGACGCGGTGGCCCTTGACACGATAATCCAAGAATGGTTGTCTTCCTTGATCATAGGTACAGGCGGCGCATGCCGGTCTTGATGACGTCATGGTACACACTGTGGAGGCGCTCGATCCACGCGCGATGGGCGCCCCATGCAAAGCCTGGAATCGCCGCGTCGAGGACGTGGGCGGCGGTTGAAGCCGTCATCAACGACGGCTGGAGCTCGCGCAAGAGCACGAGGGTCAAGAGCGGTATGTAGTCCATGCCGTAGACACCGACAAAGTTGATGAAGACCATGACGTGGCGCCACGGGAGGACGGACCAGAGCCCATGGAGCTGCCAGCGCAAGAGCAATGTCGTAAGCGGCAAGTGCAGTCGCGCGAGCGTCGTCATCACCTACCACAGTCCTCAACTATCAACTTGATACAAGACGTAGAGCTGTGTACGGCAGGGCACTCGGTGGCCGCGAGGCCTTCGACAATGGACGCGACGTGGAAGAGTGGAACGTGGCAGCCCGCAAACGTGGCGTCGGCTATCGCGCGCGCAGGCCAGAGGAAGAGCGACGGGCCCGCGCCCCGGAGCGCCACCAAGCACGATAGCACCTCGTCGACACTGTGGCGCGGCGAGAGCATCACGAGGAGGCTCCATACAAACGGGTCGCACGCTTCGCGCCCCAAGGCCGAGAGCGTTGGCGGCAATAACGACGTGCACGGTAGCGGATCGAGCCCAATCGACTGCGAGCGGTGCTTGAGCCAACGGTTGATGCGTGGCAGCCATGCCTCGGACGCGGGTTCGATCGACGGCATCGGCGCACCTCCAGGGTACGGCAGCGCAAGCTTGCTCTTGGCGCCAATGACAAGCTCCAAGAGGACATCGCCGAGCCACGCAGTGAGCGGCGCGTCATCGAGCACGCTGCCCATGTCGTCGACAAGGTGCCAGTAGAGACCTCCGATCGCCTTGAAGTCCAAGTGGTTACTCGCATTGCGCATGGCGTACTGCAAGTGCAAAAACTGCGCTTCGAGCGGCCGGAGCGAGCCCGGCGTTGGCGGCCGCGCGGGATTCACTTGCGCGCAAATCGGGGCCAACACGTCGGGTGCCATACGACTCGATGTGATACACTCGAGGCGCTGCTGGATGCGGTGCTGGTGCCACGAGATCGGGTCGATGGCACAAGGCACGTCGTCGGGGCAGCCGCAGCGCCAGAGCGCCGCGGCTCCGTGCATGGCCACCGCATGCGCACCCGCCGGCGACGAGTGTACGAGCGCGTCGACCAGCAACAGCTGCGCGACATGCGAGGTGTCCCCCGCTCTTGCTTCAACGGTCCAGCAACGCCACCACGGCGAGCGGCCGAGGTCGGTCGCCGCATACGGCGTTCGAAAGAGGAGCGCGAGGTTGACGAGGTCGACCACAGTGTCCCGGAGCTCAATGGGCGCGTCGACACCGCCGTCGACCAATGCTTCAAAGCCATCGACGTGCGAGACGAGCGCGTCGACGCGGTGCTCGAACGTCGCCGATAGCGTCGGGCTCTTGTGTAAGAAGGCAGCTGCCATCGTTGGTATCGACATCATCTGCATGAGCGACTCCATGTCTCGGGTCGCCCACAGCGGCGCGAGGTCCAGTGGAAACGCTAGCAGCAAGGGGTAGCCGAGCATGAGCCCGCGAGCGGTCGCCGTGAGATCGCGCAGGATGCAGTCGCGCACCCGTGTCGACAACGTTGGGCACGCGTCGCGCAAGATGGCGAGCCAATCTGTGCAATCTGCAAAACACTCGAGCCAGAGAAGCGAGTGGCGACAGGCAGCAGCGATTTGCGCGTGCACCTCGCCCAACACCGGTGTCGGATCAGCCAAGAGAGCCACGATGTGCTGGGCAGTGTCCGACGTCGGCGGCAGCGACACGAGACCGTCGATAGCGCTGCTCACGAGCTGCTGCACGAGGGTCTTGATGCGCGGGTGGTCGCGGTGTACGACCACGTGTTTCGTGTACGTGAGCACCAGCGCCTTGGCGTCCTCGGTGGCCAGCGCTGCATACGGAAACGCGATGCTACCTATGTCAACCGGGCGCTCGTGCTCGAGGCGTCGGATGTGCACGAGCACCTACGCCGACGCCGTCACCCTCACACTCGCACAGTCGACGCATCTACATGGAGCAGTAGGTCGTAGAAAGGGGCCGCGTGCTGACGGCGGACAAGGTGCAGGAGCTTGGGAATCAGCGCTTCGTGCATCGTATCGAGCGGGGACGCGCCAACGGCCGCGCAACCCGCGTCCGACCGCCACAGTTGCGCGACACACACCTACACGCAGCTGTCGCGTCGTGTTTGCGGTGTTCCTGGACCAACCAGGGTTAGGTGAAGGCACACCGCATCATACTCAACATTGTCTGTCTTGCTCTATACAAAGTGAAGCGGAGAGAAGGGACAGATCGGTGCATACCGAGCTCGGGCGTGCGGGCGAACACGTCGTGAAGAGCAGTTGGTTGGTCGCAGGGTCTGGCGATAACCTCATAGGCAGCGGTGTGCTGCCGCCGCGATGCTCGGTCTTTTCGATGCGCAGTGGGAACGCTGCTTGCACGGATGACAATGGAAGCAACTCGAGAAGCATGTGCACCCCCTGAGAGATAGAGAGCTCAAAATCATCGGGTGGCAACCACCAAGAGCTACCTGGACCATGGTCTTCTGCATGAGAATCGTATACCACTGCGGTAGCGGCGACGGACTGTCCAGCGCAACGTGCGACGGCAGCGCGACCCGCGACGACGACGGCACCAACGTCGCGCGCGAGAGACTACGGCGGCGATACGTCACGCCTGCCGGCGACATGGTGTGCCGTGAAAACTTGCGCCAGAGCTCGACGGCCGTGTGGCCGTGCACGAGCCGCTCGACTAGGTGGATGATGACATGGCATTCGTGGAGCAAATGCAGCCATTGGCCTTTCCACGGACACGTCAGGTGCCACCGCCTAGCATTGCTATAGAACCGACTCACAATCGCGCGTGTCGCCTACGTGAACCAGGTTGCTTGCATGTCGATGCACGCTAAGATGGAGGCCATCGGGATATAGTCGGCGGTCGACCCCGAGAGACTCTGCTGCTCGGTCAACGAACTCGACCCGGGTATATCCCATGGCCCGAGCAGCTGGGCCGTCATAAGGAGCGCGCGGGCGCGGACGTCGGGCGGTGCATAAACCCATTCGTTGGGCAGCACCTGCAGTAGGTGGTGGACATAGCGCAGCATCCGAAGCAGGCCGCGCTGGGGCGACTGCGACGGTGTCGGCGACGAGATCGATGGTTTGCGCAGAAACAAAGCTGGGCGAGGGGTGCTGTGCAGCAGAGTCTCGACCAGCACGGCGTAGAGCCGGCACTGCGCGGCACTGTCGCGCTGGGTGCCCTGGAAGAGTGCGTGGAGGAGCGTGATCGTACGGATCGAAGTCACGTCATCTTTGTCGAGACAAAAGGACACGAGGCGGCGCGTCACGGCGTCCACACTTGCGTCCCCGAGCTCGAGGAGCGCGTCGACAGGGACCTACACGTCGTTGGCGTGTTCCAATGTTGATCGCGACGCTGTACCGCCACGAGCTGTGCAAACGCATCAAGCCGCGCCTTGGACGACGGCAGCGCCATGCGGTCCAGTAGCACGTAAAGGTCGCCGGCTGTGAGCTGTGGTGCATGGCTGTCGTCTTCGTCGTCAAAGCCGTCGCTACGACCAGCGTGAGGTATGCACTCAGGTATATACGATCAAGCTCGCACGTCCAGAGCACGTTGCTATCGCCGTCGTCAGCATCGTCGTTGGAGACGCTATCGAGGCGCAAGACATTGTCGTTGGCTCCGTGAATGGATGGCACGGCCTGCACCCGCGCGTCTAAGGCGCTGGCGCTTGCTGCGAAATGGTCATGCAGTGGCCCGCGGTCGCGCAACTCGTCCATGATCGCGGCAACTTGGCTCGCGACGGCGTCGTGCAGCCGCGTCTGTAGCTGGTGCACATTGGGCCCTTTGGAGAGAATCATGGCATCGACGACCGCATCGAGTGGCGACGCATTCGGCGTCACGAGCATCCAGTCGGGGTCTTTGGCCATGGCGTCGTCGACATACGTCTCGATGGCCTCGGCCACGTGCTCGTGCAGCATCTCTTTGAGCTGCGCCACGTGCGCGAGGTGCCAAAACACCGACGCGTCGGCTTGCGGTAGCGCCTGGAGCGCCCGACGCAGCCGGCCGAGGGCTTCCTCCACCTACACATACAGGTCATGCAGATGGGCTATGGATGGAGACGCGCACGCTCTCGTCGTCGTCGAGCGTCTTGTTTGGCAACACCGACCGCAGCACGACCCCGAGCACCTCGCGGAGGCTGCTGCACGCGTCGTCGGCCATCGCCCTGTATCTTTTGGCTCTTTCGAAGGTTTCAACTTCAACAAAATTCATAATAAAATAATAATATTGTTGCACATGTTCAATGCGACGACGGTTGTGGGCAGCACGGGCAGAGGAGGTGGACATTGAGGGCCGCGACGATGCAGTCGTCGTGGAAGACGTGGCCGCACGAGAGCGTCGTGAGGCAAGTGCTCTGCTCACAGAGGCCATGGCCGTCCAGGAACCGGCTGCAGAGCGCGCAGATGACGCCGTCGGTCACCGAGTTGGACGAGCCCCACGACGACGACAACGACGAGAGCGAGAGCGACGGGTCCGCGCCACCAGTGTCGGCAAAGAGAAAGTCGTAGAACGCCTTGGGCACGGCGTCGGCGGCGCGTGGACAGGCCATTGCCTTTGGGTGCGAGATGAACATGAGGATCGTGTCGAGGACGTCTTGAAAGGCTGCGATGCGGCTGGCGATGGCTCGCCCGTGGGCAAAGAGGTCCAAGAGGTGTGGCCGTGGCATCTTTTGCTGCAAATCCATGTAGAACCACGGACAGACCGAGGCGCAGGCGTGGCCGACCTGCAGCGCGCGGGCGACAGCTTCAAGGAGCTGCTTGAAGTCGCGGTGGCGCTTCCGCGTGGTCACGAGCGCCTGCGACTTGTAGTCGGTGATGGCGAGCTCATAGTGGGTCGTCTTGGTCGACTTGGTCACGATCGCCTTGGTCACGCGCACGGTGAGCCCCGTTGGCGCCATGAGCGAGCGAGTCGGCAAGTGGCGACTGCAGCAGTAACAGTTGGAAGCTTATTAGTCCGCCATGGCGGCCGATTTTATATTTGCCGCCAGCACACGAATATCACGATGTAATATTATTCTTGTCGGATCTCTTTTAATATCAGATTGCGGCTCATTTTATTCATGCGCAATTGCAATAATATTCCATTTTTGAATATTATTCTACGAACCACCAGCAGTGGGTATTGGCCTCGGCCTCGTGCGAAAAAATATATTGGAACGTGCTGCGACGTTGAACGGGCAATATAATATATAATATATATTGTTTGGTGAATATTTTGGTGCGCGCCGTGAGTATGCCAACAGGAATATAATGCCGATAACATACGGTTGGTGATTCGGAAGAGCCAAAACGTCATCAATCGCCTCAGATCGTCGTGACGTGGCGGCTCTAGGCGCCATCTTGGCTCCTCGACGAGGCGAATACTGGCTCATCAAGATGCCAAGAGACTGAAGTAGCGCCTCATTGCTTAGACCCTTCAAGGGCCCGATGGCACGCGTGGATAACTCGGGCGCACTAAATGAAAAAAAGCCATTTCCATCGAGAGGGACTGCCCTTTCTTGATGGAAATGGCATTTTTTCGTCGGCGAGGACCAGAACCTGCGCGCCAATCGCTGGACGCTGTCCAACGGCCAGTGTCCCTTTCTTCGATTTGGACACGTCAAGAACACAAGTGAGGACAGTGAAACCAGACGCGCGATGTAGCGACCGCGCAGTCCGCTCACGGGTGCTGCACTATGGTGTCTGGTAACAATATTTCCCAGCAAGCCGTTCGTTGCAGCTTGTGACGGCGTCGCCCTTGGCATTGTTTTCGTTGGCTTACTATCGTATCAGTCCTACTGCTAGCGTACTACGAGTTCGCTCCAGTGCCACCGACAGTGGAGGTCACCTCGCTTTCCGAAAGTTGCAAGCTTTTCGGACAAGCAAACCGACGAGGACAAATAGTGTAATTGCATTTTGCTCCTTGCCGCACGACCACGACGCTCCACTTGGTGTTGAACGCTCCGGTTGCCACGTCATAGAGCTCCAAGACCGCACGCCACCACTTCGCACTCCTCACGCGCGACAAAACCCTCCAGAAGATTCCGTACATACCTTTGTCAAGTCCACGAGACGCCGAGAAGCAGCGCCGAGGCCGAGCTTTCTCAATCGATCCATATATGGATAGGATAGAGCAAAGCCAACACCGTAGCTCCACAGTCAATACAGACACCAGAGATTGCCCCATTTTCGATGCAATGGTTGCAGACGCCTTTGTCGATACAACAAGAGGCGTTGGCCCATGTGAACCTAGGATTCCATACGAGGCATACCCACACGTGGCTGTAGTTGTCACCTGCTTGGACGAAGTGTACCTGGCATCCGCCGCCCTTTCATAGATCAAGCGCGCTTGCTCTATTCCCATTACCGGTCGTGGCCAATCGCAGACAGCTCTATTTCTGAGTCGACCGTCGATGGCGCGCTGGCTGACGCTCGAAGACGCGAAAGCGTCGTTCAACCTCTTTTGCTGCGTCTACGGCATCGGCACCTTGGGCATGCCCGGCAACTTTGCCCGCGCCGGGCCGACCTACGGTGCGCTCGCGCTCGCTTTCATGGGCCTCGCCAACGTCTACGCCTCGGTCGTCTGCAGCAAGGTCATGCTCCGCGCGCCAGCGTCCGTGCAGACGTTTGCCGACCTCGTACGTCGTCGTCGTCTAGTCATGCACTCATGCGTACGTAGGGCGGCTGGGCGCTGGGCCGCCACGGGCGACTTGCGGTCATTGCCTCGCAGCTCGGCGTGTGTCTCTTTGTACCGTGCGCCTTCCTCGTCCTCGGCGGCTCGCTCCTCGACACGGTCATCCCGGACGCGTTCTCGCCGCGGCACTGGACGATCCTCATGGCGATTTCGATCCTCCCGATCTGCCTCGTGCCGACGCTCAAGGAAGGCGCGGGGGCCGCGCTTGCCGGCTGCATTGGTACGATCGTCGCCGATTTTCTGGCCCTCGGCGTGCTTGTCTACTACTTGGGCGCAGACACCGGGGCACCAATTCCACCGCCCGACATTACATTTGACAGTATTGCGTCGACGTTTGGGAACCTCGCGCTCGCGTACGGCGCGGCGATCGTGATTCCGGACCTCCAGCGCCAGCACTCGGACCCGACCCGCATGCCCCGGGTTGTCCTCTTCACCTTGCTCTTGGTGACATTGCTCTTTGTAACGATTGCCATCACGGGCTATTCCATGGTCGGGTGCCAAATTCCTGGCAACCTCCTCTTTGCCGTCTCGGGCACGGCGCTGGGCTTTCAATCGCCCAGGGGTCCTATCGTCCTCGCCTTCCTCGCCATGCAGCTGCACATTACGATCGGGTTTTCCGTGCTTTTGCACCCCGCCTTTTACTACGCCGAGCGGTCTGTCCTCGGGCTGCATGCGCCGCGCCGCACGCGACTCCTCCATGGCGACGAGGAGAGTGCGACCGACGATGCCACGAGCGACGAGGCCAGCGACGCGACGCCGTCCGAGTGTGCGCAAGACGCTGCACTCGTACATGCACCGCGCGCCAGTGACGTCGACGACAACGACGACGACAACGAGGCACTGGGCAAGACACTGGATGGCGATGACGACGACCCGCGGTTTGCAGCGTGCTGCATGCTGCGGTCAGCGATCGTGGCCGGCCTCACGCTGGCGTCGGTCGTCTTGCACGACCATTTCCACGAGCTCGTCGACTTGGTCGGCGCGTCGTCCGTGTCGCTGAGCTGCATCATCTTGCCGATCTTGAGCTACGTGGCGGTCTTTGGCGAGAAAGTTCCGTGGTACGAGCGCGTGTACTGCTACATCGTCGTCGTTGTCTGCGGCGTGCTCAGCCTCTACGTCACAATCAAGAGCGCAAGCAGCATGCTGTGGCCGGCCGCGACCGACATTGTGTTTCCGTTCTGCCCCGCCGAGTACCAGCACGTGGCGTACACGAACATGACGCACTACAAGCCTACGACCTAAGTACACTACAAGAGACGAGACTGCACCAGCGTCCGTCGAGACGAGGCGCCACTTGATACTTACTTGATTTCACTTGAAAGAATACTGCAATGCACTTAAAGCAATATTGTTACTAGTACTGCGCGCGCGGGTCCGCTCCGCTGTCGATGCAAGGCTAGCTGCGGTATTGATTGGGCTGGGGGTAGGGTTGCACATGGTCACGGGAGATGTCGCCGCACAGACCGTTGATGCAGCGGGTCATGATGTTCTGCTTCACGTCCACCGTCACGAAGCTGGCGAACGAACCTCGCATGGTAGCAGTACGCTCGGCCAAGGGTCACTGATTGGATATGATCCTAGGCTCCAAGGATGCTCTTGGTAGATTATAGTGATGCAAGTCGTGGTGGTAATGTACTTGTGAGCGCTTGGCAACGTCGACGCAGCGCTAGTGTTGTCTCTGGTGCCATGACCAGTAATAAGAACTGGGCTCTCCAGCAATAAGAACTGGGATCACCAGCAGAAGCAGTGGGATGTCCAGGCGTTGCTGACTCTACTTCTGGTTGTGGGTGCCGATATAACTTGTTATGTGGGAACAACGTGGTGCCCGCCTGTATTATTGTAACTCTATTCCTCGAAGTGGTACGGATCCTTCTCGCTCTTGGGCGCCATGATGGGACCCGGCAAAGCCGCGCCGTCGTGGATGAAGGTCGGGAACGGCGGCAACGCGTCGTCGCTAAACTTCTTCTTGCGGGCGTCCGTGACACGCACGATGCCGCCCGGTGCGCCGGGGACCGTGCCCTTGACGTACAGGAGGTTGCGCTCGGGGTCGACCTTGAAGACCCAGAGGTTGTCGCGCGTGACGCGCTTCCCGCCCATGCGACCCGGCATCTTCTTGCCCTTCCAGACCTTGCCGGGGTCCTGGCACTGGCCCGACGAACCCATGTGGCGCTCCGTCTTGGAGTTACCGTGCGACGCCGGCTGGCCCGCAAAGTTGTGACGCTTCATGACACCCTGGAAACCCTTGCCCTTGCTACAGGCACCGCGTCAACAAACCATTCAAGATGCGCAAACGAGCCTACCTCGTGCCGCACACGTCGACAAATTGGCCAGGCGCAAAGTGGAGCGCGTTGAGCGTCGTGCCAGCAGGGATGAGCGCATCGTCCGTGACACGGAACTCGGCGAGCTCGCGCTTGGCCGGGACGCCGGCCTTGGCGAGGTGACCGAGCACGGGCTTGGTCACGTTCTTGGCCTTGCGCAGGCCAGCGCCGATCTGGAGCGACGTGAAGCCGTGCGTCTCCTTGTCCTTGACCTGTGTGACCTGGCACTCCTCCACCTGGAGGACCGTGCACGCGTGCGAGAGGCCCCAGTCGTCGAAGACCGAGATCATGCCCATCTTGGTGGCGAGGAGACCCGTGCGCTTGGATTCAGGCGTCCACGGCTTGGCTTCGAGGGCCGTCGACATGGCGCGGGGCGCGCCGAGGACGCGCGCGCTCGCAAGCGTGCGACGGAGGAACATCGTCGTCGTCTTGTTAGACCTCGGGAAGAATTCTAATGCTTGTTGCCCACCAGTAAGCAAATCGGCAAACGACGCAAGGCCATTGGCTAAAATGCGCCGTAGCGCGCCATGCCATTGGCGGTATGTCACCTGTTTTAAACGTGTTGGCGACTGCAAAGTGGCGATACGGAAATAGTGTGCACACGACCCATCCAGTCCATGCACTATAAGGATGGTGGTAGGCCGCTACAGGGAGCGCGGCCTCGACGACCATCGTCCAACGAGATTGTGCTGGATACTGCATCCTCTTAAACAATAGTCGTGGTGCTAACAGCTTTGAAAACGACCCCTTTAATTTTGAATAAACATTATATCATGAACATGCGTATCTTGACTGGAAATACTGTACACTGTCGAGTTGGCAAAAGATCTCGCTCGCGCCGGGACGGGTCGGCCATGGCGACCGACGAGCCACACGCGCGCTTTGGGTTGCACCTGCCGCTGGTCTACGGCGCCAAGGCCAAGTCCGCGCTAACGCCTTCAGAGCAGCAGAACCGGCTCCATGGGCTCTGGATATCCGAGGCGCAGCGGGTCGTGGACGCCGACGTCGCCGAGCGCACCGAGGCCATGAGCCTGCCACACAAGCTTGCGCGCAAGGCCAACATCTACTTGGCCGAGAACCGGCGCCTCGACATGCTGTTGCGGCGCAAGCCCACGCAGGCCAAAATGTCGTCGCATCTTCCTTGGTGCACGGAAGGCTCATCGCGATGCGTAGGAGGAGCCTGACGAAGCAGAAGAAGAAGAAGAAGACGAACCCGCGCATCGTCGACGATATGCTGGCGCTCGAGCACCGCTACCGCGAAGTGCGTCGGCCATGCACAACGACACCCATCTTCATCTTGACGCTCTCTCTCTAGTGCGCCAAGGTGGTGCAAAAGGCATGGCGGCGATACAGCCAAAAGCAGTTTTGGGCCACGTACGTGCGCTACGTGCGCGCAAGCGTCGAGATCCAAGTACGTACAACTGGTCGTCTCCAGAGTCTGTACTGGGACTAGCGCATCATGCGGGGTGTCCTCACACGCAAGTGGGTCCGGGTGTGGTATCTCTCGCAACTGCGCTTTGTCTCCAAGATCCAAGCGACGTACCGAAGCTTCCTTTACCAGCGCGTCTTGGCCACCAAGTTCCAGTGGGAGAGCTACAACGCCAGCGTCATCCAGCGGTATACACGCGGCTACTTTGGTCGCCGGCGCGCGCTTGCGATCAAGCGCCATCTGGCGGCGCTGCATGTGCAGATGCTCTGGCGCGGCGTCGCGAGCCGGAAGCGCTCGGACGCACATTGGCTCAGTCGCAGCGCCATTGTCGTTCAAAAGCACATGCGGCGCTTCCTCGTCCAGCGCAAGACCCGCAGTTTGCGCGCCGCGTATGACGTTGCCGCCGTGCACATCCAGCGCCTCTTTCGCGGCATGCGCGTACAATCTATTGATACAAACTTGATACATTTCGGCGGATCATTGATGACGCACGGCGCGTAGGCCCGCGTGCGCGTCGATTCGATGCTGTTTGAGCGCGAGACGACGAATCGCAAGCTGGTCATGGACGTTCTGGACGCCGAGCTTGTCTGGTACAAGGAACACGTTCAGAAGCTCCAGCGCCGCGTCGACAAGTCCAAGCTCGAGACTCTGTATGGCCGTTTAGTCTCTTTATGATTTATGAAGGTGAATCGTAGGGTCGTTCAGATGGAAAGTGAGCACCACCGCGCCCACGTTCGCATCAACGACGTACGTATCTTTGGAGTCAGCAGAGTAGTAGACATTGTGTACGTGTAGATGGAGTGCGTCTACATTGACATGCAAGAACAGCGGCTGAAAATGTCGCCGCGGGCGATTACCGACGGCTGGCTGTACGAGATGGAAGCAAAAATCAAGGCGCAGCGGGCACAGATCACGGCCGCCAAACTCGACGCTGTGTTTGGCCACGGCCTGCGATTCCGTGCCAGCGTAACCAAGCTACAGACGCTGCAGCGACAGCGCGACGACGCGATCGCACGCCGGGACGAAGTACCCTGCCCCCATTCAATCAAAACGTCGTGCTCATGTCTATTTGATTAGATTGAGCGCTGGCGCGTCGAAGAGTTCCTCGACTACTGGGAGGTACAGCGTTTATTGTACTCAAATATGACAATATATCGTCGACATCGTAGCGAGATATGCATCACATGGCGATCCTCCGCGCGCGGCAGCGGCAGCAAAAAATTGCCGACGAGCGTCGAAAATGGCGCGTCACGCCGTGCACAAAGGAAGGCAAGGTGCGACTGCACGCGGCCGCGCGAGAAAGCACGGTGTTTTGCATTGGCAGTTCGAATTTGCTCGCCTTTTCCAAGGAATTCCAAGCCCAGAAGAGCGCCGTGACGGCACTGACCGAGCAAGTCGCGCTCGTGTCGTCCACGGCGCAGCTGGAACAAGCGCAAACGATGTTGATGCCGCTCCTTGATACGTTTACGAAAACGTACAACGGCGTGCACCAAGCCCTGCACAACGCCCCCCCGCGCCCGCACGCTGTGGCGATCGAGCGCTCGACCAGCGTCGATCCACCGTTAGAGACAGAAATTGTAGTGAAGAAGAAGGTCAAGACACTGGGGCAGCAGCGCCGGATGCGAGATGCGCATGTTCCGTGGTCACTCCTCGATCAGCTCGCGGCGGAGAAGACCAAGCTGCAGACAGAGAAAGCGCTCGGTGCAGTATTTAAGCGTCGAAAACCGATCGGCGACGACTAGAAAAGAGACAATAATGTCAATATGTTTGAGGGAGTGAACGGTCTTGAATTGCTGCTTATTGGTCGGTGGCGAGAGTGTTGAATCGAAGCAAGGTACCGTCGTGCTGCCTCTGCGTGCGTGTCTAGGTTAACTCTAATCTTCGAGCAAAAGTGATCCAGAGCCAATAATTATTGTACTTTCTTTGTCTTTGAACAAATTGCGCTCAAGCATACCCCCAATGATCACATAAGCTAAGGACCAACTCACTGGCAAAGAAGCATGTCGTGCGTCCACAGCTCGCCAGAACCAGCGACCGTGGAGCGGCGGCTGTCAGCATGGCGAGGAGCTACCCACCGGCACAGCCAATATGACGTGGTCCTCACAGCTCATACAGGTCTGTCCATTGCCACTTGACGGCCGCCAGGACGACGCCAATGCTGTCGTCCATTGCGTTCGCGATCACAACGATGTACATGACACCCAGTGCCACGCCAACGACTGAGCGCACGACGAGCAGACACGCCCACGTTGTCATCAGCGCCGACGGCGAGTCCACGTCGATCATGCGCAGGACGAAGCGAGACTGGTCGCCGCAGCTCGAGTGGTGCCGGCGACTCAAGTCGTACGTGACAGCAATGCACTGCGACCGCCGCGCAAACTGGTTGTGGAGCCAGACGTCGACGATGAGCAATAGCCGCATACAAGACACTCCACGGGTACCAATATGGAGCAAATCGTTGCGTCAAGAGGCTTGTGAGGCTGCGCAGCACAGTGTATGGCACAAGACAGGCAGCGACAAGGAGCATGGGAACGACGGCGAGGTACGCGACGAGCGTCAAGAGGACGTACGCTGAGGAGTAGAGAAGCGCGGCGTACGTGAGCCACTGGAACGGCCAAACGACGAGGTCTCGGAGCAGCAAGAGACTCGTGCTGGTGTCGTCATGGCGTCGGATCTGCGGGTCGATCGCGAGCAGGGGTTGACTGGGTCGCATGGGCAATTTGGCATTTGACACGACGCTTCCGATTGGCTGCATCTCAAACGGCGTATCAAGGATCACCGGAGCTTGCAAGGTGCGAGCTCGGTCAAAGGTGACAGAGCCTCTCTGCGTGGGACCGAGTTTCAATAGTACTACATGTGTACTGTCCACACGCTGGAAAGCAGCTGACTCTGAACAACCCAGTTGCAGCGCTGACTCCGACTTGCCACGTCGTTGCGTTTGTTGTCATTTGATTGCAAATACGTTTGATGGATATATCAAAGGATTCAAATCATGGTGGACTGTGTAGTACTCTGTAGTCCTTGTCGACGGCCTCGATCCGTGAGACCTACGACGATGGCACAGGCACGAGCGTGACCTGCCCGAGGTAGGCACTGCCGTCCGTGTCTGAATACGGCATGGCGTAAAACGAGACGAACGGAAAGAGCTCGGTTGTCGGCGGCAGCACCAAGTCGATGCTTGCACTGTCGACACGTTCGCCGTCGACGTCAAATGTGATCTTTTGCGCGTCGCGGTCGTACTGGACAACGGCAATGCTTCCACTGCGCTCTAAGTCCAGGCGCTCGGCATTGATATTGTCAAAGCTCGAGTAGCCGCCACAAATATACGCGGCATGGGCGTCAGACGGCGCCGTCAGTGCAAACGCGTCTTGTGTCGTCAACCCGATCGAGATACTGCACAGAACAAAGTCCATGCGTACGGCAAATCGGTCGCTTGGCACCAACGCGAGCACGGAGCGCTGGTGCGTATTCTTCGTGACGGCGACCGTCTGGCAGAAGTTGGTGTGCAATAGCTGCATGTTGGTGTCGGTCGGTGTCCACATGCGACTTAGTGGCACGGGCAACGGCAGCCGGAGGAACTCTAGCTGGCGTGAGATGTGGACGATCTCGTGCGGCGCGAGGCTGGCGAGCAGCGGCGCGTCGCAGCGCAAGTGGTTCAAAATGGGCTCAAAGTACGTTGGGTCCAAGTCCAGAAAGTACGCGCTGTCAACGTCCGGGGCGCGACGTAAAAGCTTCTCCAAGAAGCTGCCAGGAACCTTGGCGAGCGTCGCTTCCGACGTGCAAAAGATGCGGCCGCCAACGTTGAGCTGGATGAACAT